CCCAGACAGAGACACAACCTCAGATAGGGACTGAAGAGACCAAAGTGATACTCATACTAAAGTCCGTGTTGGTTACTTTGATGACTCAGGCAGCTAACCCGCTGAAAAGCCCTCCCCGGCACCAGTGATAACTCTTGAAGGTGCCGCTGTGGAGTTCTCTACATGCCTTGCAGGCACCTCGCCAGGTTGGAAAGTCTCCTCTAGGAATCTCCACTCTCCCACAGCATCTCTATATCCTTGTGGAAGGGGGCTCTGTGAATCCTGACGTCTTCGCTATGCCAGAAATGTGAAGATCATTACTTTCTGACTCTCATGAAACTCCCTTAGGAAGGAATGTTTCTCTGGAGGAGGAAATCTCCAGACAGCAGTTGCCAGGGTATCTTTGGGGCAAGTCTTTAAAGGTGCCTTGTTGATCAGGAGATCTGGTTGTCCTCTCTGTTCCTGATTGTGCTACAATAATATTGGATGCAAATGAGGATGGGTATGGTAGCCCATACTTTTAATCTCAGCAATGCAGGGTTAGGGGCAGGGGCAAGGCCAAAGGCAGGTAGCTCTCTGTGAGTTCCATGCCAGTAGTTGTAGGTCATCTGGGGCTATCTACTAAGACTCTATCTTTTTTTTTAAAAAAAAAAAGTGAATATGGAATAACTTTCCAAGGATTATGCACTCCAAATCACCCAGTAGATTAATGTAGTTTTTCTGGCACTTGTCCTCCTGTTGATCAGGGTATAAGAACAAAATACATGTTGCCAGGTAGTGGTGGTGCAGATCCTTAATCCCAGCACTCAGGAGGCAGAGGCAGGCAGTTCTCTGAGTTTGAGGCCAGCTTGGTCTACGTAGCAGGGCTACACAGAGAGAACCTTGTCTCCAAAAACCAACCAACCAACAAACAAACAGCCAGGCAAACAAAAAATACCCCCCCAAATCAACCAAACAAAACCAAAAGCCTAGAAAAAGAACCAAGTACATCTATTAAAAGTGCTAAAACAAAAACCATAATCTGAATAAAGGAGCTTTGCTACACTGGCTGTAGCAAGCAGATGGAATCCAGGTATGAAGTGAGCTTGTAAAGCCAGATGGGGCAGAAGCTGGTCATTGTCAGTACTTTGGAGGATGTTCAAGAAATCTGTGATGGTTAACCTTGGCTGTTTACTTGGTGAGAAGTAGAATTGCCACAGAAACACACTCTGAGTATTTAATATGTCCAAGGCACTAGAAAATGATGGTTAAAAAAACAACCCTAGGGTCTGGAGAGATGGCTTCTACCAGTGGGCCCTGCTGTGATGAAAGTTTTTGGTTTCTCTTATGTGTTTTTTGTTTTGGTCCCAAAGGTGTGATGAAGAAACCATTGTTGAAAACAAACTCAAAAGAGGGCTCATGATCGTGGTCAGCTGAAAAGGGACATGTGAAAGGCCACATGATGCTTCTTCTGGAAGCTGTCTTGTGAAAGGGGTGTGGTTTTTAAATAGCCTGTGTTGTCTCAGAGAAGGGATAAATAGAAGCCCACAGACAAGGAGATAATGCTTTTGGATCATTATGTTTTGCGATGATCTTCACTGTCTCACTGGTCTTTGTTTTTCAACATTGTACTTCGCAAAGAGAAATACTCGAGAGAACTCTTGGCACTCAAGCTGAAGAACCAGGACTTGGGCTGACTCGGAGGAGTCTTACTGCTTCTACTGAATTGTGCCCCTGCTGTTGATTCGTTTTGCTGTTTGGTGTTAGGTAGTAACTGGGCTGCTGGTATCTGGACAACAAAGAGTGGACTTGTCCCAAAGAACTATGTCTAAAAAGGTCCTTTTCCTTTTAACCTTTTCCTAACAAACCCTTTTTCCTAATAACCTTCTTTCTCTCCTACCTCTGGTCAGTGGGTAGGAAGGAAGGTAGGAGCATTTAAGAAGCCTCCAAAGAGTAGGTTTTTGGAAAATCTAAGCTTACACTGGCTTCTAGTTTTCAGTATGATAATATTAGGAATCCAGTAAGGGATCAGTCACTGATTAGTTGAAGCCTTGGTGATCCTGCCTCTGAAACATCATCAGATACTCTCTCTAGGCATTTTAATGCAATCAGATTGAGGGTTAACATTAACCATTACAATCTCTTTTAGAAACACACAATATAAACTTCCTATATTCTATAAATGTTTATAATAGAATTAAACCTTATCAGATTATAAAAAATTAGAAAAATGTAATTTTAGAAGGAAAAAAAGACATGAATAACAAGGCACTGTGAGATGACTCACATGTCAGAATTGGCTGAAATAAAATTTAAATTACTCCATAAACTGGGTGCAGTGGTCCATGCCCTTAATCCCAGCTCTCAGGAGTCAGAGGCAGGCAGATCTCTGTGAGTTTGAGACTAGCCTGGTCTGCAGAGTGAGTTCCAGGACAGCCAGGACTACACAGTGAGACCCTGTCTTGAAAAAAATTAAATTACTTCAAAGACTTAGTGAAAAGCATAATTATAATGAACAAACAAGGCATATCAGCATGTAAATGAAAACTTGAAAAAAAAAAAAAAGAAATTTTAAGAAATAAGAACCATAGTGTTTTGGGGCTGGAGAAATTGCTCAATGGTTAAGAGCATGGGGCTGCTCTTCCAAAGGGTCAGGGTTCAATTCCCAGCGCCCACATGGCAGCTCGAAACTGTTTGTAACTCCACTTCCAAGGGATAGGACACCCTCTCACAGATATACATATAGGCAATACACCAATGCACATAAAATTAAAATATGTAAATTATTAAAAAAGAAACATAGTATTTTAAGTGAAAAAATAATGAAGCAGGCTTATCAGAAGATTTTTAAACTGCCAACCCACAAAGAGTTAATTTGAAGATAGACCAACAGGAATTGTCAGGTCTAATTATCATAAAGAAAAAAAAACTGAGCAAAGATTCTATTAAAATCTCTTAATACTAAGTGGCATTACACATATATAACTAGGATTCCTCAGAGTGCTTAAAAGCAGGGACAGAACTGAACAGAAATTTATTTGAGGTAAAAAATATTTTAAAACATCCAAGTTAACAAACAAGCAACTGATGGATCTAAGAGACTCAGTGTGTATAAAATATAATAAAAAAAATCACATATAGCTCAGTATACTATTACCAATACATAACCAAGTGGAGAGAAAATTGGAAGCAACCACAGACAAGTGACATACACTGATGATCAGTAAAAACCGTTAAAGTTTAATCTCATCAGGAGTGAAACTAAAAGTCAATGGGAATGTTTAAGGATCTGAAAAAAAAAAACCAAACAAACCTGCCGGCACAGTATATTCTTCAAATCTAAAATGAAAACATGGACAATAGCAATAGGACTTTGCTACTAGAAATGCTAAGGAGAACCCCAAAATTAAATTGGACTCACCAAATGGAAACAGATCAACACTTATTTTATATTATGTAATAAATTTAGTTGTTAAAGAGTTTGGTTAAAACAGCCTCTTTCCGTTGTGTGGTAGCTGCATTGTGGTGGCTAAACTGATCGGAATAGACCTGTCTCTCAGTTAAATTATCCAGTCATGTATCCTAAACTTGTTGACAGGAGTCCTCTTCTACAATAAAAGCCAAAAGTGCAAAGCGTCTTAAAGCTCAGGGCTAAAATAGGTAGAGTGCCATTTTCCTAGTCAACACCACCGAAGTTACTGCCTAAAGATAACTGCCATTTATGATTCAGAGTTTGAACTGGGAGTTTGTGTAGGGCTTAGCTCGATTTTGCTACACACATAGTTGCATTCAGCCAATGACTGCTCTCAGATCAGAGATCATCACCTTTTTATCTTTGCTATGTGTCTGGAACCAAGACACTGAATGGTGGCTGTGCTTTCTATATGGTGCTAATGTGCCTGGAGCTCTTTATTCATGCAGCCTTTCTCCAGAAGGCTACCCTGGGTTTCTTTCCATGGTGACTCAGGGTACCAAATAAGGGGAGGAGGGTAATTGAAGTTGTGCCTTTTAGAGCAGTCTTTTCCCCAAGTTTAGCTTTGTCTGTAGTTAAGAGTACAGCTTCAAAGGCCAGGCATGGTGGCACACATCTTTATTCCCAGCACTTGGGAGGCAGAGACTGAGGCAGGTGGATCTCTCAGTTCCATGTTAGCCTAGCCAACAGAGTGAGTTCCAGGACACCTAAGGCTATACTGATATTCTGTCTTGAAAACCAAACCAAACCAAACTAACCCAATCCAAATGAAACCAAACCATCAACAAAAATCGGCTTTAAGGGCAAGGACCAATGACACAAAGAACAGTATAAAGAACTTTTCTGGTATGTCTAGGTCTACTGCATATTATTTATATAGAAAACATAGAATGAGATATCCATAGCATTAAAAACCCCTTTGTACAAACTCTTTTTATAGATCCTTTCATTTCTATGATCCTCAGATTCTATCCTTGGGCAGTAAATCCAGTTTTGATGGAGTCCATGCCATGATTTATGCAGCCTTCACTATGAACATTTATTTTTCTTCCAATAACTTTACAGTTGCCTCCCTTTAGCTCTTACTCATTAATGCTTGTTCACATCTCTGGTGATAATCTGTCCATTTGGATGTCAATGTCCCTCATGAAACTGTTCTCCAGGTCGATCCCTAGAACAATCACGTTGATAAGGAAAAATAGATTCTTGTTCAAACTGTGAGAGAGCAAGTCACTTAAATTGGATGCTAACAGTTGTAATAAAAACAACTGTCAAAGCAGCATAAGAATCGGCTTGCGCCCTCTCGCTACACTCGATTCTGTGATGGAATACATCTTCCAATTTCGTAATGGCACAGACTAAGAGTAAATCGGGCCAAACTAATGGAGAGGCGGAAGTCAACATTCACTTCCGGCTTACGTTCGGAAGCCTCTTCAGAGGCTCTGCGGTGTTCCCACAGGCAAGCACGAGATAGGGGCGGAGCGACGCATGCGCCCTACCCAAGCGCTCGCCAGGTTGGTTCTGCGCAAGCTCGCAGGAAGCGCTCTCTAACTCTGCTTCCGGAGACAGGTTTCTGTAGGGGTTCCCGGCGTGGAAAGCGGCAAACTGTGGAGTGTGACTTTAGCCACTCGCCAGCCCTCTGCGACCTGCGCCTCCAGTGGACCCGGAAGAGGTGTGTGAGCCTTCTACTTTTTCCTTCTGGTATTTCCTCTTGATTTCCTGTGATCCTGGGTTCTGGGACCGCGAGTTACAGGGACTGCGAAATGTTGGTTCTCCTTGCAACCTCCGCCAGTTTGAGTCTTTGCGGGCGAGGGAAGGGTTTGCTTTAGATCTCCTTACCGTACGTTGGTGGGTCGATTTGAAATTCAGGTGTGTCCAATTTCAAACTTTTTCGCCGAACATTTGAGGTTAATTTTAAAGGGTTTAATCTGGGTTTAAAGTGGAGAAGCGAAATTTGAGGCTGGCCGACTCTTGGTTGATGGCTCAGTAAGTAATTGGCGATTACAGTAAAGCCGAGTGAATTCGATCAATGGGATCCACACGGTGGAAGGACACATTAAGCTATCCTCTGACCTCCACTCATTCGTAGTGGCTTCCCCATAACAATAAACAAAGTATTTAAAAAACAAACAAACAAACAAACAAACCTTTGTCAGCAGGCTTCGGGTTCGGTCTCCAGCACTGCAGAACACAAACAAACAAACAAAAAAGGCAAAGCCAATGCATTAATCTGGACAAGTCTGAGGATGTCCCGATCTAGGGTGATGCTGTAGGATTGCAGAAAAGAGGGGAATTTGGTGGAATTTTTAAGTCATAGTACCGGAAGCTTCAGTACTGGATAGATGCACAGAACAGAGGCTTTGAGCATTTTGACAATTAAATCCAAGCTCAGTGGCATATGGCTGCTTTTGTGGAGTCATTTATTTGCCATGGCCCCCTGCCCGCCTCCCAGCCATTTTTGTCATATCAGCTAGTCTGTGTATCCTGTATTCCCTAGACTCCTGTCTTCATGTCTTTTGGTCGCGTTACATAATTTGTCTAAGTACCACAGTTTTTCGGACCTACCGTGGAAGGTAGTAAGGTTTCTGCTGTGATTAAGTTAGGTAATTTATGGGCTGGGTCATGTAGTTAAGCAATACTATGGCTATTGTTGTTGTTATATTGTGTTGCTCTGTATTTTTCAGTTTCTGTAGCCTGAGTTTTTTTACTTTGCAATTAAGGGTGTGTTGTTTGTGTATGTACTCGGTACATAGCTATATAGTAGTCTTTTTATGAATTTTAAAAATAATTTTTATTTTATCTTCTGTGTATGAGTGTTTGGCCCATATATATGCATCACATATAGGCCTCTTGAGAAGGTTGGATGCTCTGGAGTTGGTGTTCCAGAAGGCTATGAACTGCCATGTGGGTGCTGGGGACTGAACCAGCCAAGTCCTTTAGAAGAGCAGCAAGTGCTCTTAACTGCTGAGCCATCTGTCCAGTCCCCACTTTTCTTTTTTAAAAAAAGTTTAGTGTTTTTGGCTGTTGTCGACAGAGTCAACTTTTACTTTAAAAGAACTGACAGATACAATGCATTTGGTTGCTCACGTGACGTTTATTAGATGGAAAGATGGCTTCTTTTCTGCACAATGCAGTTTCCTGCGGATTAGCGTGCATTGAAACTAACTGATGCTCTCAGCTTGGAAAAGATATGAGCGATTTCAGTGAGGAAATGTCAGAGCTTGCCGTGGCAGACCGGAAGAGAGAAACTTCTGCATTGTCTGAGAAAGGAATGCAGCTCCCATGGCTTCCGAAGCATATAGAAGCTGTAGGTAAGTGACCCAGCACTGAAGCCTTTCACTTTAATGCCAGGAAGTGCTAAGATCAGACACAGACACAAATGAATAACCAAGCTAGTTTGTTCTTCTTATTCCTTTTTTCATTTTGTTTTATTATGGATTTTATTTTATTTTTTATATTTTACTTGTTGTTGCGACAGGGTCTTGCTAGTTACCCCTGGCTTGCCTTGAACTCACATGCTGCTCAGGCTGGGTTCGAACTTATGGTTGCTCTCTTGCCTCACCTCCATGTGTGAACCATGATGCTTGACTATCTTTTTATGATTAGATGGGAGATTTTTTTCTTTTCTTCCTTACAGCTGTGGACAAAAATGAAATTATAAGAAATAAACTTTTTTAAAGGTTTTTTTTTTTTGCACTTAATACATAGTCTGTATTATGGTAGATTTGTATTTACCGAGCACTTATATCTTGAATTGGCAACATATTGGAGACTTACAGATGAAGAAAATATGCTCTCTTATTGAGGAGCATATACATAGGAAGTGGTAAGAAAATTTTTGTTGACTTGAATGGAACTAATTAATTCCTTCTAGAATTGATAATGTAATAGATTTTAAAAGCATTTATTTTCATTTTTTAACAATGTAGATACAGACAAGGGTTTTTAATGGGTTAACTTCTGTGAGACTGTAAAGAAGCAGCGATCGGTGTGCTGCCCTGTGTCAGATAGAACTTTACATACACTTACACTTTCCTTACTGCTCTGGATGCTTTTCTTGGCTCCTGGAATCTAGCTCCCATTTTAGAACAAAGATTAATTAAATTTTATATTTCCAGTAAGTTAATCCTCAGTAAATGTGTGCATGAACATTTTTATATGAGGACACTAAATTGCAACGAAATTAACCTCTTAAATAATGATATAAAGAAGCAAATCAGGTCTGTCTGATCTCAGATCTTACACTTTTAACCATAAGGAGGTAGATGGAGCTTGGCCTGAAAGCAGTCTTCCATTAGGAAAATAAAGGCTCTTTGAACAGATATTTTGCCAGTTTTCTTGGCTAGTGGCCTGTGATTGTTGATGATCTGGGCAGCTTGTGTCGTTCTTGTTAAGTGCAGTATCTGCTTCAGAGAGCCAGCTGAGGCCCAGTAGCCTCCATTTCTAACTTGATTTCAGATAATCCAGTACTGCTAGTTTTGGGTCACGGGAGCAGTAAGGCTGAGAAAGTACCTTGTCCTGCAGCAGCTTTCTTTCCCCTCCCAGCCCCCCTCAAGACAGGGTCTTGCTGATTGGCCTTGAGTAGCCTGTATGGAACTTGCCACACAGACAGACCCGGCTGGCCTCAGATCTGCCGCAGCCCTGCTTTTTGTCTTCTGATGGCTGGAGTGATGGACATGCACTACCATGGCCAGCCTGTGGGGCTGGGGTCTTTATCATCCTTTTACTTACATGTCCCCTATGAAATTTGTTATTGGTGCTTTCTTGCAGTACTCATTAAACTGTCTTGGCGGTTTTAGAAAAAAGGTGTTAGAAAAATTGTTTTCTAATTTAATAGTTGCAAATGATAATATTTTCACCACATGTTGGATTATTTGGTTTCTCAAGGCAAGTTTCTCTGTGTAGCCCTGACTGTCTTGGAACTTGCTTTGTAGACCAGGCTGGCCTTGAAATCAGAGCTCCACCTGCCTCTGCGTCCTGAGTACTGAGATCAAAGGTATGTACCACCACACTTGACTAGATAGAAGTTTTAGAATACTGCTTTTTTACAGTAAGTATATATCATTACATAAATACTCTTATGTCTCATACATTGTAAGAAAGTTTCTTTTGGGCTGAGACATGATTGTAACTATTGGTGGTTGTATACAGTTGACCAAAATAACAAAAGCTTTGTTGAGAGATTGGGACTTAACTATTTGAGTAAATTTTAATTTGTATTTTATCTCAACAAAATAGATAAGCCATCACTTTTTCCTCAATTACTGTATAAATCCATGATAATTGTTATGTATGTATCCCTTTCTTTCCTCTGGAAAGCGTACTTGATTTTTGGGCAGAGTCTTGCTGTAACCCAGGCAGTCCCAGACTCAGGTTGCCAGCCATGATGGAGCTAGAGGTGTGCACCACACAGTTGGACTGTTCTGTTTTTATTTCTCCGTGGAGGGAAGATCTAATATCAGTGTTGGGTCTGTTTTAGTGTCTGTAACTAATTTGGTGGTGTAGTGAGTCACATGAGGAGGTTAAGCAGTATGTCTGAAGTTCCGTGATGAGCTTATTCAGTGTTACCAATGCTGAAGCCAGGTATGGTGGCACACACCTTTAATCCTACCTCTCCAGAGGCAGAGGCCAGCAGATCTCTGAGTTCCAGAAAAAAAAAAAAATTAATAATAAAATAAATAAATAAAAAACCCCAACAGGGTCTGCAGTTTTAAAGACAGATTTGGAAATCATCTAAAATCATCTAAATTGCAAAGGGCAATGTTAGGGTCATTGATTTGCCAGCCCCATCTTTTGCCTGCAGGAATTATGTACATTTGTCTGTAAGGCCTTGAAGATCTTTTTTAGGAAGCAGCGTATAAAGATAGGCACTTTCTGTTTTGAGCATTCCTGGGGATCAGATCCAGAGCCTTGCACATAGCCTATACTGCCACTGAGCTATAGCCTCTGCCCTGACTTTAATTTTTAAAATTTTTATTTTATAATGTTAAATTTATTTTGGTTTTTATGTGTATGAATATTTATGTATGTGTGTGTGTGCCGTGTATGTGGTGTCCGCAGAGGCCAGAAGAAGGTGTCAGATTCCCTGATCTGGAGTTACCGGTGACTGTGAGCTGCCTGGTATGGGTGCTAGGAACTCAGTTCCTCTTTAAGAGCAGCACATGGTCTTAACCTGAGCCATCTCTCCAGCACCTGCCAACAGATGTGTTAAAAGTACCTTTGCATGATACCTGTTGGTCTCATATACTTGCTTAAATAAGGGAATCTAGCTGGAAGACTAGAGCCCAGAGCAGGGATGGTTGTTCACATCTGTAATCCCAGCATTTGTGAGACAAGGCAGAAAGAGTCCAAGGTCATTCTTGGCTACATAGTGAGCTTGAGGTCAGCCTGGGCTCTGTGAGTCCCAGGGAACCAGAAACAAAACAGAAAAAGAAAAAGACTGCTGACTAAACAGGATCCGTTAGAAGGGAAATGGGGCTATCAGTGTAACCTCTCTCTTTTATAATATACCCTAAGTCCAAGTTCTCTTAACATGGAGATTGTTGGTACTTTAGACCTAATAGATTCTAATGCTTACAACTGCTTTAATCTTTATGCATTTCCTATCACTGGATTACTGGAAACTTCATCCTTTAAAAAGAAAAAAAAAAAAAAAAGATTCACTTGGCGTTTTCTGAACATTTAAATGTAGGTAATAACAACCATCTTTCCCTAGGATTGCATTGGTGACTTTTCCCTTAAATATTTGGGCCTGTTCCTTTGGAAGGTTTCATCCAAGTTATTTAGTAAAAGAATGATCAGATTTAGGGAGCCTGATAGCACAAGGACATCTAATATTTAGGATGTTTTTAATTATTTGTTTCTGAGACAGACTTGCCTTATATAGTCCAGGCTGCCATTGGACTCACAGTCCTGCCAGCCTCCATAGTGCTCAGATTGCAGTCATGTGCCCTCATGTCCAGCTTGGTTTCTGAATTCTGGGTTTCTAGGTAAGAGTGTAGAAAGCCTGAATATGTATCAGCCGTGGCTGCTTGCATTAGACCCACCCAGGGCTACCTGTCAGCAGTTCATCATGGGCTGGGGAGACTATGCGGCAGGGTTTGTTTTAGTTAGTGGGTTTGATACCTGGGTAGCCTAGGTCAGCAGTCCTCGCCACCTTTGTTGAGACTTGTGTTTATTGAATACTGAATTAGAGACATTCTTGTCGTTGATACAGTGACTGGGGGGAAGAGGAAGAAGGATTTTGCTCAGACAACCAGTGCTTGTTTGAGCTTTATCCAAGAAGCCCTGCTGAAGCACCAGTGGCAGCAAGCTGCAGAGTACATGCACAGTTACTTACAGACCCTGGAAGACTCAGACACCTACAAGAGACGGGCTGCCCCTGAGGTACTGGAGTCTGCTAGAGGCACAGCCGCTTGCTGGCTGTTTCACTTCCAGCTCCACCCTTTCGATCCATCCTGCCTCAGCTTCCTGAGTACTAGGATGATAGGCACACCACCATGCCTGACTTACCCTATTCCTTTTGTTGTCAGTGTCCATTGAATGGACTACCACTTCTTACGCTTCCGTTCAACAGTGGTTTCCCTGGACGTCCATGTATGTGCTTTTGTGTGGTGCTTGCTTTAATTTCTCTTTAGTATATACTGAGGAATGGGATTGTAGCTTATGTGATAGCAGTATTTTTAATCTCCTAAGGTTCTACCAAATTTCTTACCAAGTGGCTTTGCCATTTTATATTTCTACCAGCAGTATTTAATGTTCTAGTTTCTCCACATTCTTATTGGCATTATTATCTCTGTCTTGAGACAGTCACAATCTGAATACCATTCTGGCCTCAGACTCAGGTATACAGACAGACTCCTCTGTTTAAACCTCCTGAGGCTGGGAGGCACAAGCCACCATGCCTGTTTTTTTTTTGTTTTATTTTGTTTTGTTTTAATACTTCAGGTCATGAAGTAGAATCTCCTCATGTTAGGATTTGCAATTCTCTTCTGGCTAATGATGCAGACGGAGCTTCTTAAAACACTGATCATGTTCCTCCCCCACTGAAAACATTTCACTAGAGCAGCAGTGAATCATAGTCCTCTGATTGCTGTGGACTTCCTTCAGGTTGTGCATCTTCTCTTCTTGATCTGTCTCTGACCTCATCTCTCCAATCTGGGTTCTCCTCACTAGCCTCACTGCCCTTGCTTTCCATGGACCAGGCATATTCCTTCACTATAATTTCTTTTGCTGGGAAGGGTCTTTCTTCAGCCATTGTCCTCCTTCAAGGTCCCTTTAGGTGACTTCACTCTCATACCCACCCCTACTTTTTGACCAGCACTCCTGAAGACCTGTTGTGTAAATGCCAGGTGTGCACATGCACACCAATAGCCCAGCAAGGGGAGGCAGAGGCAACTTGTGCTTTGCTTTCCTTTCTTTCTTTCCTTTCCTTTTCCTTCCCCTTCCCCTTCCCCTTCCCCTTCCCCTCCCCTCCCCTCCCCTCCCCTTCCCTTCCCTTTTCTTCCCTTTCTTTTCTTTCCTTTTCCTTTCTTTTCTCCTTTCTTTTTCTCTTTTTCTCTTTACCTGATTATTAATCTACTTTAAGCTAATAGAGAAATAGTCATTTGCTCCCTTGAGAGAAGCAGAGCCCAAGCTCTGTCACCAAATGTGGTCTAAGAATAAGTGTATTAAAATTTTCATTTCTAGCAAAATGTTCTTAGGTTGACATGGGAAAAGAACAGCACACATACTTAGTGTGGATGAAATTTCAGGGAATGTGGCGTGTCTGTTTCTGCATGGAGATGAGACAGATGGTCCCAGGGAGCCAGAAGTGTAGGACTGTTTTCTGACTTACCCATTTTATACCGATTTTTAAGTTCATATTTAGTATGTGTGTTCATGGCACCTTTTAAAGACCACTAATTTAATAATGGCACTGTTATTCTTACCTGGTGTAATGGTTTGAATGAGAATGCCCCATAGGTTATGGCATTTGAACACCGGTTCCCTTTGGTGGCACTGTTTGGGAGGTTAGAGGTACAGCCTAGCTGAAAGAAGTCCCTCTGTCCCTAGAGGCAGGCTTGCAGAGTTTAAAGCCTCCCACCATTTCTAGCATGCTCCCTGGTTCATGCTTGTCATTTAAGGTGTGAGCTCCTTGCTCCTGTCCTCATGGAGTAACCCTCAGGAACTGAAAGCCTAAGTACACTCTTCCTCTAAAAGTTGCTGTTTTACCAAAGCAACAGAATCGACACCAGCACACTGGCATTTTGAGAGGTGATGAGGATCACCTGCTTCAGAGTGCTGGCGTACTAGGGGAAGCATGGTCTCTACGGAGTGGAAGGGGAAGTTGATTTTAAGTGTTACAATCAGGATAAACAAAATCTTGTAGGAAGAAACTGGATAAGGTGAAGATTTATTATTTTGGTATTTTTGCTTTGATAGATCATTTGGAAGCTTGGAAGTGAAATTCTGTTTTATCACCCGAAAAGCAATGTGGAGACTTTTAATAGCTTTGCTGACCGGATGAAAAATATTGGCGTCTTAAATTATTTAAAGGTGAGACTCTAGACTTGTAAATTTATATTTCCAATGTGTGTGTGCTTGACTGCTTGTCTCAATGCTGAGACAGAAAGTCACGGAAAATAGATCTGACCTGCGGGTAAGAAGAGACTAGAGGACACTGCCGTGTGAGGGCTGCTCACGCCCTCATTTCCAGCCACCTTCCATGGATGCTGATTGGAACTCTGTCACCTGGCTCTGGCTGTCAAGTACAGTCTTTCAGCGATGAGGCTGCACTTCATGGTGTACACAGGCCAGACTCTCACAGGGTTGCTAAAATTACTTGAGCTGAGCTGGCAGTTTTGGAAAAAAAAAACAAAACAAAAAAACAACAACAAACTGTAGAACAAGTTAGGAACTTGAACGTGTTCAAATGTTGTAATGTTCTTAATGTTTAGATAAAACTTTCTCTCCGAATTTCTGTCTTTTAATAATAGGTATTTTTCTGTTTTTTAATAAAGTTTTTTGCAGAAGGGACCGAGAACATTGCACAATATTATAGCCCCTTCTTTGTAAAGACTTCTAAGTAACAGAGCACTGTTTTTTTTTTTTTTTGTTTTTTGTTTTTTTTTCTTTTCGAGATAGGGTTTCTCTGTGTAGCTTTGGCCGTACACCAGGCTAGCCTTGAAATTACAGTGATCCACCTGCCTTTGCCTCCCTGAGTGCTGGCATGAAAGGCATGTACCACCACGCCCGGCTAAGAGCACTATTCTTTAGTAATTTTATAAACATTTTATTGTTATTTTTTTTTTTTAAGACCATAAAGCTGTATAAGAACTTGAACTCTGTCCATTTACTCTTATACAGAGTATAAGAGTAAATGGACAGAAACCATATGACCTGCAAAGACTAAAATTTCAGTCCTTGCTCTTGGTTTTGTTTTTATTTGTTCAGCCTTCTGGTGTGTGTGTGTGTGTGTGTGTGTGTGTGTGTGTGTGTGTGTGTGGTCTATCTGTCTGTGTTTGTGTTAAGTCTGGAGGTCTGAGGTTGACCTTAGTCTTTCTTGATCACCTTACACCTTACCTCTTGAGGCAGGTTTCTTGCTGCCTCAGAGCTGATTGGTTCTGGCTGGTTAATGTGGCTATTGAGTTTGCTTTGGGTTCCTGTCCACCCCATGTGCACCAGACTTGTGCAGTGGGCTCTGGGGATCCAGACTCTGGCCCTCATGCATTCTCAGCATAGTTTATCCACTGGATCATCTTTCTAGGATCTTTCTCCCCGCTTTTTGAGAAAGACCCTTCCTATGTAGCCCAGGCTACTTTTGAACTCACCGTCCTACCTCATCCTTCCTGGTGCCGGGATTCTAGATGAGTGCCACTGTACTCAGCTCTTTGGTTATCTTTGCTTTTGTTTCTAGGAATACTTTTTCTTTAACACCCCTTGGCAGGTTGTGTTTGAGCGTGTTGGACATGAATGAAGTCTGTCAAGACTGCTGTCTACTGTAGACCAAGCAGGCATTAGGTGTATGAAAAGACTGCCATTTAATCTTGAGCAGACTCTCTGAAGGCTGTAGGTGAAGCATGGAGCTCCTGACTAGTTCAGGCTTACAATGTGGCCTTTGTGCCCAGTTTTCTCACTGTGTTGCACTATATTCTGTATATGTAATTTTACTCTCAATTACATGGTGTTAGTTGTTTCCCATGTCTTTCTTTGTTGATTGAAAAATGTACACGACAGAGTATGAACTATGCCACTGTCTGAGCTTTCACCTTTTTGTTTTGTTTTGAGACAGGGTTTCACTGTGTAACCTTGGTTGTCCTGGAGCTCACCCTGTAGACCAGGGTAGCCTTAAACTCATTGATCTGCCTGCCTCTGCCTCCTGAGTACTGTGATTAAAGGTGTGCACAACCACCACCCAGCTGAGCTTTCAGTTTTATATGAAGGTTCTAATACAGTTTCAGGACTACGCCAGCATGTTACGTCTTTCCTGAGTTTCCTGACTTCAGCGACAGTGGGTTGTTTTTATTGCTGCAGATCTCCTTACAACATGCATTGTATCTTTTACATCATGGGATGCTGGAGGATGCAAACAGAAATCTAAGTGATGCGGAAACATGGAGGTATGGTGAAAAGTCGGCTTCTCAGGAAGTGTTAATCAACCTTGTGCAGGCCTACAAAGGGCTCTTACAGCACTATTCTTGGTCCAGAAAGAAGATGGAGTTGTCAGAGCTTGGTGAGTCAGCACCGTCAGCTTTCTTTCTTTTTTTTAAATTTTTTTATTAATTATTTATTACAATTTACACTTTGTATCATAGGTGCAGCTCCCTCCCTCATCTCCTCCCAATCCTTCCCTCCCTTCCTCTTCTCCTCTGTTCCTCCCCTATTCCACTGATAGGGGAAATTGTCCTCCTCTGGCCTGGTAAGGCTGCAACCCTCCCCCCCCCCCCAAGGGGGAGGTGATCAGAGAGCCTGCCACTGAGTTCATGTCAGAGATAGTCCCTGTTCCCCTTACTAGGGAATCCACATGGAGACTGATTCTATGGGCCACATCTGAGCAGGGGTTTTAGGTCCTCTCCATGCATAGTCCTTGGTTAGGGTATCAGTTTCTTCAAGGCACCTAGGGCCCAGGTTTGTTTTGTTTTTTTTTTTTTTTTGGCTCTGTTGGTATCCTTTTGAAGCTCCTGTCCCCGCCAAGTCTTTCTATCTCTCCTTTCTTTCATAAAATTTCCTGTACTCTGCCCAAAGTTGGCTATGAGCCTCAGCCTCTTTCTTATGGTGAAGGGATGGCTGGGCAGTGTGGATCACATAGACCCCTGACTTCATCCAGGTATTGTAGAAATGAGACATGCTCTTGGGAGGCTGAGGATTTCTTGGGTTTGAGGTCAGGCGGTCTTACAAGATCCTGTCTCAAAATAATTAAGCAGGCTAACAACAACAAAAAAGCTTACTAGGATGAACTGACTAGGTGAGTTTAAAGTTGCTGTTTATTCTTTTTCTTACATGTGGTAGGTACTCGAACTCAAGAAAGTTATATGATAACTATTTGGGCAGTGGTGTTTACCACTCCTGTGGATAGGTACTTTGTACTTTTTTTATTCAAGACAGGGTTTCTCTGTGTAGCTCTGGCTGTCCTGGACTCTCTTTGTAGACCAGGCTGGCTTCAAACTCACCTGCCAGTGCCTCCTGAGTGCTGGGATTACAGGTGTGGGCTACGACACCTGGCAACTTAATACACTTTTTTTGCATGAAGTTGATAGTAAGATTGTGGGTATAAAATGGGTGGTGCTTTCAGAAGATCTTTAACTCAAGTGTCTTTAATGAAGAAAAAAACCAAAACAAAACCATTCCTGCCCAAATAGTAGGTGGTTTGAGTGGTGACTATTTTAGAGTTATTGCTACTTTAATTTTATCAAAGGTAACCACAGATGAGATGGACGTAGGTAGAGCACACCTTTAATCCCAGTTCTCTGGAGGCGAGGCAGGTGGAGCTCTTGAGTTTGAGGCCAGCCAGAACTATGTAGGGAGACCCTGTCTGAAAAGGGGAAAAAAAACCAAACCGCTATTCAGAGAGATGAAACCGCTAGCTTCTCTGCCAGCCTCCTGAGGATGTGGCCTGAGGACCGGCACCTGCCGCAGCTGTGTGTGTGTCTGTCGGTTAGTGAGCTTGGTTACTGGCATCCTCCTTCACATCTAACGCTAGGATCTGGTTTTTGTTTTTTTTTACAACCTTTTTTCCCCACATCATTAATCTGCTTTCCTGGTCTCATTTCTAAGCACAGACTAAACTTACCTGGCCACTGGGAAAAGGATATCAATGCGCTTTTTGCTTTGAAGTATCATTTTGTGCTTTTTTAGTTATTACTTTTGAAAGACTAACTTTTCTTCAAACCTTTTATGAAATTCAACACATACAGTGTAGAATGAATAAATTATAATTCCTTCTCTGTAACCACTACACAGGTTAAGGAGCTGGTCATTGCTCTCACCTTAACCTGTGAGGTACGCACGTGTGTCGTCTTAATACTTCCTCTATTCTGTACCTATCTTGTAACCACTTCCGTGCTGGCTAGTTTTATGTCAACTTGACACACGCTAGAGTGCCTTAATTGGAAAAAAAAAAAAAAAAAGCTTCCATAAGAGAGGGCTGAGGGCAAGCTTGTAGGGCATTTCCTTAATTAGTGATTGATGGGGGAGGTCCCAGCCCATCATGGATTGATCCACCTCTGGGCAGGTGGTTCTGGGTTCCAAAGAAACAGGCAGAGCAAGCCAGGGGAGCAAGCCACTAAGCAGCATCTCTCCATGGCTTCTGCCTCAGCTCCAGGGTCCTACCCTTTTTTGAGTTCATGTGCTGACTTCCTTCAGTGATGAACAGTGTTGAGGAAGTGTAAATCAAATAAACTCTTTCTTCCCAGCTTGCTTTGGTCATGGTGTTTCATCACACCAATACAACCCTAAGACAATTCCTCTGACTTTATTTATATTCTTCTCTATATACACAGCTGTAAAGGATGCAGCTTAGCTTTGCATGTATCTGAATTGTTTATATTTGTCTTCATACTGTGCTTTCTTTGGGGGCCTCACGTGTTTTCAACATCAGTGTTAAGACATATATGTTTTTAAATATTTCTAGTTTATTCAATTTTAGAATAGTGAAAATCTTACTGTATAGTATTAATAATACTCTTTCTGTAATTGATAATCACTTAGGTTATAGTTTGAATGAGATATATATATAATATATATAGTTATATAGTGCTTCTTTGAAATTAACCTTTCCCAAGTTTTACAAAAAAGTGCACACAAGCCTGTCTCTGGAAACAGTCATAGTGATGGAGTATGCCTCTTGTACTTAAAAGATACATGGGATATATGTGCATGCAAAATAATATATTGATTTGTAACTATTTTGCTATTGTGAATTGTTTTTTCACTGAAAACACAGCTGTCTTTGGCTTTTATGAGGCCTAATATACCTGTGTTTTTCTTTTGACATTTGTTCCATCGAAGACATGGTTGCAGACTTCAGATATACAAAGATGTCCACCATGAGTCTGACTGTTTTAGCCCCTATATGTAGATGTTTTATCCATTTGGAGTTACTTTTTGTATATGATATGAGATGGGTAACAATCCACTCTATTGTTTTGCATGTTGCTGTCCAGTTGTTGATTGTACTGACTGAAAACTATTCCTCTATTTAAGTTTGTCCTGTCACCTGCACTAAAAGTCAGTTGCTCATAATCATGAAGGCTTATTTAGGGACTCTGAATTCTCTTGTGGGTGTCTCTGTGTGTTACTCATGTCTCTATTATATAGCCTTGATTGATTCCTCTACATTGTAATCAGTTTGGAAATGATGGCGTGCATTCTCCAACTTGCTCTTTTTAACGTTGTTTAGACTTCACTCAGCCCCTGTGCTGTCATTAGCTGTGAAATCATTTACATCCGCTTGTCAGCTTATTCAAACACCTGTTGGGGTTTTGATAGGAATTTTAGGACTTTAGATGAACTTAATAGTAGTGGTTTTCTACTCTACAAACATGAGATGACTTTATAGGTGAGATTTTTAACAGTATTTTCAGAGTGTAACTTTTCATTCTTTATAAATGTGTACCTAAGTATTACTTTTGTTGCTCTTTGAGTGTGCATGAGTGCATATGAGTGTGCACTTTTGTGCAGGTGTGCATGAACACCGGGAGCCTGGGAATGTGGAGACCAGAGGCCAGTTAACCTTGACTGTCATCCCTCAGGAGCTGTCCACTGTGTTTTGAGACGGGGTCTCTCTGTGGTCTCGGCTGTCCCGGAATTCACCAGGTAGACCAGGCTGGTTTGGGAACTCACAGAGGTCTGCCCTCCCGCCTCCAGGTGCTGGGATTTAAGCTGTGCTCCACCGTGTTGCATCATATACTCAATTTTTTGAATGTTAGTTTTATAACCTGCAGTCTTAATGAATTATTTGTTAATACTTACAAGGTTTTTAAAAATTAAATTTTACATGTAGTGCTTGCATATATGTCTGTGTACCACACGTATGCCTGGTGCTTGCAGAGGCCAGAAGATGGCATCGTGTCCCCTGGCACTGGATTTGTCTATGCTTGTGAGCAACATGTGGTGCTGGGAATCAAACCCTGGTTCCCTGGAAGAGCACTCAGTGCTCTTAGCCACTGAGCCATCTCCAGCTCCTTAGCTCATAAGACTTTTTAGGGGTTTTTTGTTTTTGTTTCCAGTATAGGAATCGTCACATTTTCCTGCTTCTTACTGCTCTGATGAAAACCTAGGGTAGCAAAAAGAAGTAGTGAGAGAGGCTGCCTTGTCATTTTCTCAGTTTTAATCAAGCTTGGTAGCTATTTTTAAATTAAAATTTAAAAAGTAGTAAAAAAAATTCAGATTGAGTGAGTCCTTCTATTCCTAGATTGATGCATGTTTTTTTTGTTGTTGTTTGTTTGTTTTGTTTCTTTTTTTTGAGTCAGGCATGGTGGCACACATCATTAATCCCAGCACTTGGGAGGAAGAGGCAAGCGGATCTCTCTGTGTTTGATTCCAGCCTGGTCTACAAAGTGAGTCCAGGACAGCCAGGGCTACACAAATAAACCCTGTCTCAAACAAAAATGTTACTGATCTTTAACAAGTCTTTTTCTGTCTGTTGAAGTGACTGCTGATTTGGCTTAGAGGGTGGGTCTTCATGCGTAATTGGCAGTCAGCTGCTAAGCCAGCCTTGGGTGTGATGTGTAATTGCTCTTTGTAGGCGGCTAGACTAATGGGTCAGTACCCTGTTGAGGAGTTTGGCATTTCGCCAGAGACAGCAGTTCTCTTCATACTTGTTAGAGGTTACCAGCGATCCACTGCTCACGTGTTCTCTAAAATGAATTTCCGGGTCTCTTATTTTTGAACAGATGAGGATGATTATGCTTATACTGCAAAAACCCGAAACATGCTCAGCCAGAGCTGTAAAACCTCTGCAAATATTTGTACGCTGATTAAAACTCCTGGGGTTTGGGATCCTTTTGTGAAGAGTTACGTGGAGGTAAGTAGTCACTTTTCATGGCCAGGGTGGTGATACCGTTGTCTCAGCACTGAGAAGCCCGAAACAGCATCGCTTCGAGTTTGAGGCCAGCTTGAGGTGTATAGTGAACTCACTAGCCTGGGCTGCATTCATGGCACAGCTCTCTGCCTCAAGAAGCACTTCTGGTCACTGCTGTTCTCTGCATTGGGGCCTTGGAAAGAACTTGCAACAGTTCTTTTGTTGAGGTTCTACATTTTCCAGGAACAAATTCGAGGGAGAAAAATGATAGCACATGTAGACCTTTGATGGTGTTTTGAAGAAGTTGTAGGAATGCTGGAAAAGCAAAGTTAGTGTTGCTGTTGTCCCCTATACAGTGCTCATCACTCTTCCGATAGCTAAAATTATTTATTTATGCTGCTCTTCTCAGCAGTAAGCTTGTATCTTCTTTTTTGTGGAGTTATTCTTCAGAATTAATGTAAGATAATGCTTTTTTTTTTTTATACAGATGTTAGAGTTCTATGGTGATCAAGATGGAGCCCGAGAGATACTCACCAATTACGCATATGATGAAAAGTTCCCATCAAACCCCAATGCCCACGTCTACTTATACGAATTTCTCAAGAGACAGAAGGCACCCAGAACGAAGCTGATAAGTGTTCTTACGGTATGCAAGTTCCCAGTGTTTGAGTAGAAGGTCTGTGTCTGGGCTTGCCGGGAAGACTCGTGTGTGTGGTTGGAGTGCAGGAAGAGGAGGAGGAGTGGCATAAAGGCAACAAAAGCAGCCAGTCAGCCCTCGGGAGCTTCCTAAAACTCAGCAGAAGGTTCTGGACTCTGGATGTTCTGTTATTTGATCTCGTGGTAATTACACGACTGCGTTCAGCTTCATGAAAACATGCTGACTGGCACATGTTCTTGTTTGCCGTAACAGTACATGTATTTCAGTTAAAAAATTTTTTTTTGAGTTGAGACATACATAGATAAATCATGAAAAAAAATGTGAGTGTAGGAACCAAATTTTAATAGCTTCTGTTATTGGTGTCAGTATTTATTTCTGACTTTTCTTCCTTTATAAAACTTCGAAGAGAAATTGGCAAATTTACTTTTTGTTCTGTTGGATATAAAGTGAAAGTATCCTAGAAAACAGACAGGATGAATTCATTTAAAAATTTAGTTTATTTTGTCTGTGGGTCCAAGTGTTACCATGCATTTGGAGAGGTCAGGGGACAAGTATGGGGGCTGATATCCTACCTGGGGATCCCGAGAGATCACACTCAGGTTGCCAGTTTGGCAGCAAGCACCTTTATCCAGTGAGTCCTCGTGCTGGCTCAAATTCATTTTTAATGTTTCAAAATGAGAGAATATTTTACTTCAAATTTGTTCCATAGTTATAAAATAGTTCCTTGTATTCTTAAAAAAAAAACAACATCTTGTAAGTGTCTCCTCATTTTACAAAAGAACTGTTACAGAACTTCCATGCTTTTTAGTGTGCTTTGAGTGTATTCGCTAAAATTGCTCTTTGCCCTTTAGAGTTTATTTTATATAACTGCTCTGTGGGTTTTGTTTTTTTTGTTTTTTTTTTTTTTCTATGTGAGTTCTCTGTGCTCTTTTGAGACAGGCTGTCATGTAGCAGAGAGGCTGGCCTCACACTTGTTCTGCAGCCTGGGCTGGGCTTGCACTTTTGCCTGCCCTTTCTCTGCCTCCTGAGCGCTGGGATTATGAGCCTGGGCCACTGTTCTGGCTTTGTCATTTCTTCTTTTCCTCCTATCTCTCTCCAAGCTGGGACTGTGGGTACATGCTGCTACACCTGCCTTTCTATGTGCTGCTGAGGATCTGAACCCTAGTCCTCATGCTTTCATAGTGAGCACTTTCCCTCTGGACCATCTCCTGGAATTTTGTTTTCTAATACAACGTTTCAGAGGATGCCTTCCTGTGTTCAGATTAAAGCTGGATACATGCAGAATACCTCTTAAGTCCTTAATTCATTTGCTGAGAGCATATTAGCCTGTAAGAATTTTACTTGGAAGTAAGCTAGAATTTGAGAAATGTCTTTATAGTGTGTAAATTACGAGACTTTTCTCTTTCAGATTCTACATAAGATTGTGCCATCCCATACACTAATGTTAGAATTCCATACATTGCTTAGAAAATCAGGTAAAACTGTGTTTTATATTCCTTTGTGCATATAGACTAGATGAAGGCTCAGTCATCTGTGACCCATGGGCCAAATCATCGCCTCTTTTCACAAGCTAAATTCCCTTGCACTCCATCCCCTCTTGCAGTGCTGGTGGTTGCTGTTGCTTTATGCCTGTAGCTGTGATGGAGATTAGGGATCCACAGCTCACAAAGCTTAAAATGCTTGCTGTCTGGTCCTATAGGGAGCCTTAGGAAACAGGAGGACAGATGTGTGTTGTTTGTATGATTTGCCTCTTGGTAGTCCCTCGAGGGCTTCAGTTCAGTAGAGAACATGTGTCTTAGCAGGAGGTCACCTCGCTTCAGCCAGTTGCTGAAAAGTCTATAGGTCTCAACCTATAAATACCAAAAAATGCCAACTAGGGCATTTTTAAGTAGAGGGGATAACCTCCAGAAGAGGCTCGCCGCCTTGATGTCCTTACCTTCAGCTCCTCACAGGGCAGTGAACTTAATGAATTATTTTAAGAAGGTTTGCAGATCATAGAGCTTCATTCACTTGATCGGTCTTCTTGGCTCTGTGCTCTTATCTAGGACCTTCTGTAAGCTTGAACTGTTGTGACTGTTGCAGACATAGAAGAACACCGGAAACTGGGCTTGGCTGTGCTATTTGAAGTCCTGGATTTTTCTGGATGCACTAAGAACATAACTGCCTGGAAATACTTGGCAAAGTATCTGAAGCAGACATTAATGGAGTAAGTGAGAAATGGTGTTTATCACTGGTTCATTATAAGTAATAGGCTCACATTTTAGCTGTTGCTTTCAAAGTTTTTTACGTAATGTTTTTGAATTTCCTGTAAAGGATCTTCAGTTCTTTTTTCCGAGTACCAGAAGCTAGGAAGTACAGAAAACCTAAGCCTGACACAGAGAAGTTCTGTGCATGTATTTCATGGTAGCAAACTGGACACTGCATCGTCGGTGCACGCACTCTGCATCTGACTGTGCATTGTCAGCACTACATTCTGCATGAGGGAAAAGCCGTAGCTCTGCTCACCTGGTTCTGTGTTGAGAAGAGAGGCCTCAAAGAGTTAGACTTCACTTCAGTGTCGTATCCTTTTTGGCTGGTGAGGAAATCTGTGTTTGAGAATACTTCTTCATGCTTTAGAGCTGACTTTATCCTCTGCTTACTGCGCTGATTAGCGACATGAACCTGGGAGATGGGGCCTGAAGATAAGGCCGACTGAAGTGCCAGCAATAGCCAACTTTATTCAGAGCATTGGACAGTTTATGGTCTGAGGGTGAAGAAGAACCACCTGGGTAAAGCATGCAGTTGTGAGGACAAGGCACAAGTGGCAAAACATGTTTTCCTTAGATGCACTCCTGATCTGCTACTCCTGTGAGGGGCACGAAAACTCATTCCAAGAACAGTTCCTTGTTTTTGAAGAAACTGCGGTCATAAGACTATTGTCTTGTTTTCTTGGTGTTTTCTCACAAACACTCAGAATTCCCCTTGTATGGCTCCATTCTTGCTGGATGGCGTTTACAGAGAAATCTTAAGGCATTTTTTTCTTTTTTCTTTCCTTTTTTTTTTTTTTTAAAAAAAGCTCTGGTAGCTGAGAAGTCCAAGGTGAAGCCCAGTTTCCTGGTTCCCAGTGCCCTCTTGCTGTGTTTTCCCTCCGTGGAAGGGACAGCTGCTGTCTGGGGCTCTCAGTTTGTGATTCAGCTCCTCCTGTCCCAGCCCCACTGCCTCCTGCAGGGTCCCCACACTTGAGCATATGGAGTCTGTGAAGAGTGCATCCACACTGGCAGTGCGCCACGGCAGCACAGTCACTTTACAGATCTGAAGGGCCTAAAATCTCCAGACCATGGGGTTCCTGAAGGCTACAAAATGTACTGTTCACATGTTGAATCTAGACTTTCTACCACGGGCTGCCACAGGCATTAAATATATGTTTACTCAAGTTGTTAGAGAACAGTTAGTTCACTTGGTTCATCAAGCTCATATGCTTATATGTTTGTATGATAATGGCATCTGACTTGGCATAGTAATTTGGGTAACATATAATTTTATCTAAGATTGTAAAGTACTTTTTAAGTAATTATAGTAATAGCCAACAGTTACTCTGTAGCAGACATTCTGCAAGGAGCTTTGCTAGTTTGCTCCTAATAAAAATGCCAGGAAATAGCCATTTCCTCTCAAAGAAATGGAGGCTCAGAAAGGTTAGCAACTTGCTCAGGATCATCTAATTAGAGATGGAGTATCGCAGATTTCTATCCCGGGTTTTAATTCAGTGTCCATGCTGTTGACTTCAATCCAGGATTTTAATCCAGTGTTCACGCTGTTGACCACTCTGGGGTAATGCATTGGCTATGAAGTGGGAACGGGACGTGGACACCAAAAAGAGTGAGCGCAGGCTTGCGTCCATGCTGCTGCCGTGGCCATGCGCAGAAGTTACTGTTGACATTCTGATTCTCATCACGGTGTTGTTGCTTCACTGACATTCCCTTTTCTTTGTTTCTTTCCAGAGGCCATCCTGTGTGGGTTGAAAAAGAGTGGCAATCTAGGAGAAACTGGTGGCCAGCCTTTCACTTCAGCTTCTTTTGGGCAAAGAGTGATTGGAAGGCAGATGCTGATTTGGCTTGTGAGAAAGCGTTTGTAGCTGGAATCCTTTTAGGGAAAGGTTTGTGGTTGTGTTTTCTGTTTTTTTGGATGGAGCTTTTGCCTGGCTCTGACGCTAGGAGGTGGGCCTTGGTTCATCTTGTCTTTGTGATACCCGGGGTTTTAGGTGTTTAAGAAGTGACTGGAATGGGAGTGTGAGCCCTGAGCAGGGTCCTGATCCAGGCTTATGAGGAATCCTGTGAACTGTGTGCTTGGCTCCATGCCCAGCTTGACTTTGGGCATCAGAGACACAGTGCAGACCTTGCTATGTGAAGGTCAACTGACCTCAGTGTTCGTCATCAGCTCCATGTTATATTCACTCACCTGTCCTGTGGGGAAGGAGCATTTTCTCCTATCGCCTTTTAACCGAGAGGAAAGTGGTCTTATTATGGGCTATTTTGGCCAGTAAAATGCTCACTCGTGTGCCACTGACACATGAGCAGTGGAGCACACTACAGTAAAACTGTACAGAGTATATACCGAAATAAAAAGGGAGTGCCGCAGTGAGTGCTTGGCCCTGTGCTCAGGAGCTTGAGTTCCCCTGTGTTACTGTGTGGTGAGATCCAAGGCCGGCACCCTCTGCTGTGCTAAGAGGGCATGGCTCTTGGAATGAGAGTCAGTGTGTTTCATATAGTTACCAAGATTAGGAAAAGGTTGGTTTTGTGAGAAAAGGGGGATGAATGAGAACAAAGTGCCGTTTCTAAAACCCTGGTGATGAGCAGAAATGGGCTCACCTGCAACTCCTGCTTCCTCATCACTGAGCACAGCACGGACAGTTCAGGGCAGCCGTGTCTGAGCAGAGTCTGAAGGCCCTGGACAGTTTCCAGTCCTCTTACTTGTCACTTAAGTCAAACAGTTAACTGTTGGCCTTGTGTGAAATGCACATTGTAAACACGCTCACACCTTCTTTGCTAACAGGGTTGTAAATGCCAAGTGAACATCTGGAGGGCTCTGACATTCTTAAGTGTTAGAGAAGTGTGAGACGCGGTTCTGCTTGAGAATGGGCACTTTTCTTTTGTCGGGGTTCTGGTATTGAGCTCAGGTCACTTTTTGCTTTGGCCACCATCATTTCATCCTCGCATTTTCAGTCTTGGTTGGCTCTGCTTTATCTTAGAATGGAGTTGACAGCTGTATGAAAAGCAAGGCAAGTATCTTTCATTTTTGAGGGACCTTTCCTCAGTTTGCATCCCAGTTGTCCTCCAGTGTTAAGTCCTTTCAGGTTCATCTAGTTGTTGACATTAGGATAAGAAGAAATTCCCTCCAATTTTCTGTTTGGTAAAAGCAGAAACTGCCTGTATTTCCTTTCTACTACAGAGTGGTATGAGGTGTTTATGAATACGGAGTAGCACCGTCTTTCACATCGTCAGGAGGCTGTGGTGACAGGATCTTTTGAGCCCAAGAATTGTATGCAAGCCTGAACAGCACAACTAGATCCTGTCTCAAAAGAAACACCACAGATTATTTTAGTGACACTAAGCCTCCACCAACAGAATATCATCTTCTAGCATGTAGTCCTCAAGGATGGTAGAATGGATTCTGCAGTTATGATATGTAACCTAGCATTTTCTTAGGGAAGATAGGTTTATGTGAGTGGAGGATATAATAAAATTATTGTTTCATATGATTTTTTATTGTTTTATTATTTTATTTATTATTTTTTTATTGTTTTATTGTTTTAATATAATCACAGCTAGGCCTGGAAGTATAGGCCAGTAATTCCAGTTACTTGAGAAGTTGAGACAGGAGAATTGCAGGTTTAAAGTTTTCCTGTGTTACACAGTAAATTTAAGGCCACCCTGAGTAGGTAACTCAGTGGGATCCAGAAAGGGCTGGTGGCAAGGACTGGAGAGATGGCTCAGTGGTTATAACAATGCTTATAAAGGACCCACAGTTAGTTCTCAGCACTCACATTGGGCAGTGGACAACTGCCTGAATTTCATATTCCTTTGAGCTCTACAAGCACCCACAAATATGTGGTGTGCACATATGCACAGGAACATACATAAATAAAAATAAGTAAGTCCTTAAGATCAAAAGTAAAAGGTACTGGGCTTATAGTCAGTGACAAATACCTGGCGTGTTCAAGGTCTTAGGATCAGTCACCAGAACAGCATACATTCATATTAAACTTACGTTTTTCTTTAGAAGTTGACGTCTCTGAAACACTTTACAAGGGTCGTAGAACTGAAGAACAGGTAGACCTTCTCAGGACCACTAGCTACCTTGTTCAGACTGTGCTTTCCATCCACTGAATTCCAGAAGGCTAGAAGGGACCATGTTTGATCATTTCTAATCTATAATATGTTTATTCTAATCTTCCGCATCACTGTTTCCTACAGAGAACTGTCTGCTGTGATAGGTGCGACCGTAGCTGACTTAGAAGCTGGCATTGAGAGGGAAGTTGCATTAGCGCAGATTCGCTTTTGGAAGTCTTATTTAACAAATGAGTATATATAATGTACACTTCAGCATGGCTCCAGCTTAGGAGAAAGGGTGAGAAAGGAGTTGAGGTGTAAGCTTTAATTATGGGTGAGACATGCCTTTGCAGGTAGTACTTGCTTTCCCTGGTGAAGCTTTTACAGGTTGCCTAAGCCACATTGTTACATGTGACACAAATGAATCTACTTTCATGATTATGTGTGTCCTAGGACTGAAGAAAATTTTTAAAATGTAGAAGTATACTTAGTTCAATAAATATTAAGACTCTTTCTTATTTTGTCTCATTTTTTAGGTTGTAGATATTTTCGGTATATTTTAAAACAAGATCATGAAACCTTGAAGAAGAAAATAAAGCGGATGAAGAAGTCTGTGAAAAAATACAGTATTGTAAATCCAGGTGTTTGCACCTAACTTTAAGTTATTTAGTGGCTCCGTGGTTATTGAAAGTGTTTTTTTGTTTGCTATTATAAGAAGGTCGTTTAAATTATTATAATTGTGTATGCACATATGTGCATGTGGAGGCTAAGGCAGCTGTGTCATTCCTCAGCAGCTTTGCTCTGAGACAGGTCTCTCAGAGGCCTGGAGTGTACCTATTAGGCTGGCTGGCAGCATCCCCCAGGGAGTCTTCTTAGCTCTGGGATTATAATTGTGGGCTACTATGCCCAGATTTTTTTTTTAATCTATTTATTCATTCATGGTTTATATGTGTGTGTGTGCATGTCTGCACATGTGCACATGGACTTTGTGCAAGCAGAGGACAGCTTGTAGGAGTTGGCTCTCACCTTCTGCCATGTGAGTCTCAGGGACTGAACTCTGCTCATCAGAGTGGCAAGTGACCTGTCCACTGGATCTCCTCGTTATTCTTCATGTGGGTGCTGCGGTTCAAACTGGCTTAGTGAGCTATTTCCCCAGCTGTTTATTTTGTATTTTTCTATATTTCATTTTCTTGTCAGTTATAGCTGGGAAATAATCTCTCACTGTCTTTGCTGTTTGTAAATGTATCTATCTATATATTTTTATAACATTACACAGATGTTTTAAAGGATGATTTTTACACTTGATTTTAGCCAGGAGGCTGAGGACTGACTAAATGAGAGGTTTTTTTGTTTGTTTGTTTTTTGGTTTTTTTTAACAGACAAAAGTGTTTGTTCAATGGGGAACATGGCTGTAGCATAGTTACTTGTGCTGGTTACCTGCCCGTGGCTGTTGTGTATTAACTTCAGCTGCTGCAGTGAGTGCACATATCGTCAGATTCTAACTGACCCGGGATGAAGGAAAGCACCTGTGAAGAGCTCTGTTGAGGAGCTGTAGGAAGAGCACGCCTCCCTTCTCTGTTGTTTAAAGCAGAGCAGGTGTAACCAAGGGACTCCAGAGAGAGACCACACCGACTCTGGAGGACTGACGTGAAGCGGCGTGGTGATCGAGGATATGCCGTGTCACCAGGTGTTCCCTCTGTTTCGCTCTTGGAAATGAGAGGACAACAGTGGAATCTTCTAGTGAAATAATGTCCCACAGGTACAAAGTAAGCCCAGTGGGGCAGGCGGGCCAGAAGCCAGTGACACGTTCTGGGAATGTAAGCTGGCCCTGTAATGTGCTGCTGAGTGCTTCTTCAGAATGACCTTGGCTCTTGTGCAGTTATTGTTGAAGTGACTAGTACTTGGATTCCAGGAAGGCTCACTAGTGTTCAGGTGACAAACCACACATTTCTCTATTGGCTTGCAGCCCTACCAGTTTTAAATAATGTACAATAAAGTTGGACAAGTTATGCTTCGTCATTAATTTTTTTTTCAGTAGTTTTTTATACTTGGGGGATTCTGTTAACAAATTACTTCATAATGGACAAAGGAGACAGGTGGATGTTCTATAGCACCACAGTAAACCAGGTTTAAAAGGACCAGCTTTACTGAGACTGGGTGGTTGGATCATATGGGGGTTCTGTGTAAGAGCAGCACTATAGGAATAAACACCAGACAAACCTCAAGAGCACAGGCTCGGAGCAGCAGGGTACCTGCTCGTGGAATCCTAAGTTAGGGTTTCTGTGTCTTGGTGCTGTCTGGGAGCATGAAGGGTTGCTGAGTAGCTGTGGTTCTTAGCTTCTGTACAAAGCTTTACTTTTCTAGAACTTTGTTTTGTTTAAGCAAGGGCTGCCTGTGTAGACATGGCTGGCCCTTACACTCATGGTCCTCTGCCGCAGCTGTCATATGTATGCTACCATGTCTAGTTTTTCTTTCCTAGAACTTCCTGATCACATGCTCAGTTAGAGCACTGTGGTCTAACATCGGTGGAAATTATCTTGGATCTGCTGAATCTAAAGCCCGGTCTATGGATAATGACACTGGCCTGGTTTGGTAGGCACTTTGAACCTCCCATTTCTTCATACTGTCATATTTCTGTGATATACCTGACCAAGGTGAAGTTGCCCTCAGAGATAAAGTCCCTCTCAAGCACACTAGGTCTATTCTTTCTCCCAGGCTTTTAGTAGGTTCCCTTCTCTGTGTGCTGGGAACCCCTATACTGCTTCTTACCAAACTGTTACATCGAATTGCCTTTGTAGGGCTTCCCTTTCTCAGTATGTTATCCACACATAAGCATCTTTATATCACCACCACTGTCTGGTTTAGTAGGTAATCACTGAGTTGAAGTAGTACAAATTTATGAAAGGGTCTGAGGATATCCACCCCCTGGGAAACTTAGCAAGCTTATGCCAAGAGAAGGGCCTTGGGAAACTATTGTGTTAGTGTCTGCTGTGAAGAGACACCATGACCAAGGCAGCTTATAGAAGAAAGCACTTAATTAGGGGTTTCAGAGGGTTAGTCTATAATCATGGCAGGAGCCATGAGGCAGACAGGCAAGGCTGACACTAAGCAGTAGCTGGGAACTTATATCTGGTCCATAAACAGCCACCGATGAAGAGAGGCTGGACCAGATGTGGACTTTCTGAAATCTCAAAGGTCAACCCCAGTGACACTTTCTCCTTCCGGAAGTCCACACTTCCCTTATCCTTCTTAACCATTCCACTAACTTGGAACCAAACATTCAAGCATATGAGCCTATGAGGGGCCCATCCTCCTTTAAACCACCACAGTTAATCTTCGGTTTTATTGTTTTTGAGATAGAGTTTCAGTATGTAGCTCTGTCCTTGAACCTACAGAGAGATCTGCCTGTCTCTGTCTCCCAAGTACTGGGATTAAAGGTGTTTTCACTGCACCCAGCTCTGGGTTTTTCATTTTGTTGTATGTGACTTCTTGGCAAAGTTTCCAAGCATTCTCTCTCTTTTAAAATGACTTAATTTAGTTTGCTGCCTAGGACAGTAGTTGATCGTAGGTCAAGTTAACTGCTAAGTATCTATCATGATTACATGATGACCCTTTAAAGAACAGGAACTAAGACTTTTAAGTCTCTCTTGCTTCTTCCTAGAAACTTTTGAAAGTATATCTTTAAGATAGACAACTTGATACCTTGGTAGATGTGCACACTGTAAAGTGATTGTTATGATCAAGGTTTGTTGTGTATGTCATTTAACATTTACTATTGAAGTTACTATTTGTAACACTGCTGTTATTCCTCAACAGCTCTAAAACCAAATCACCACACAGAGACTATGATTTATTTATTTAACCTAGAACACAATGCTGGGCAATAGTTACTCTATCCTAAACCTCCAAGCCCTCATAGTTTCCTAACATTCAGATTCACCCATTATACTTGCTTTTTGTGAAATCTTAGGTCCGGTTCATTCTCCACGTAGTTCCAAGACCTCTCCTCCAGCTCTCTCTCCCAGCCTCTCTCCTCTCCTCTCCCCCTCTGCCTTCCACACCTTCCTGTCCTCTGGCTCTTCCCTCTCTTCCTGCTTCCTTCCCATTGCACAACATTGTGGCTGGTTGCTTTATTTTGGCATGTTTACACAAAGTTGAGACAGGTGATGCTTAGAATAAGTATCACAGTGCAATGTCCGGATTGAAACCAGAGAGTGAGGGAGAGAAATCAGCATTTGAATGAACAAGGGTAAAGTGTATACATTCCAAAAGAACATACCAACAAAGGTCTATGATCAAGGTTTATTACCCCTGGGTAGTTACTGTATCAGGGTTCTCTGGAGAAGACGCCAAGGAATGAATATATAACAAAGGGGACTTACTAATAAGATTGGCTAACAGTGTGGCCTGAGTAGCCCAGTAGTGGTTCTGTGCACAGTGGGGAAGCTGAGAACCCTGCACTAGCTGCTCAGTCCATGAGCCAGTCCCATTCTGTCACTGAAAGCCTGGGGGATTTCTGCAGAGCCGTTGGTCTTCAATCCACGTTGGAAGCCAAAGAATCTTGAGTTCCAGTGTCAATGGAGGGTCATTGCAGCACCATTGGTGGCAACAAGAGTAGATGCCAGCAATTTACACTTTCCAGTAAGGGGTCAAGTACTAGCAATACCACCACCACCACCACCACCACCACAACAACAATATAATAAAAACCAGTTTACATTGCCACCAGTAGTGCTCAACGTTTCTTTTTCCACATCCATTGCTTGCCTTTTGCTCAATCCCTCCTTGTCTTAATTTCCTTTGCTCTGATGACTGGAAGCATGAGCATCATTTTATGCAACTGTGAATCTTCCCTTGAAAAGCATCTACTTAGGACTTTGCTCATCTTTAAAATCAGGTTATCTGCATTTTTGGTATTCAGTGGTCTTATATATTTCTGACTGTTCTATGTCAGATGATTGTACTTGAATCTTCCCAAACAATCCCGAAGTACCACGGAATCAAGACCTGTCTGCTCTTGAATCCCAGCACGCCTGAAATACTTTGTCTAACGGAGCTGTCCCTGTATTCTGTGAGAGAATGATGTGAGAATGGCAGTGGCTGAGTGGGTGACATGGGGCCTGGTTATGGAATTTTCTCAGTAAGGGTTAATGTTAGATATGATGGACTGTAAGAGTCCTCACAAAAGATATGGGAAGTGTCTTTATCAGCTGCAGCTAATGCAAATTTTTTGACACAACAATTAAAAGTCATTGCTGAGTTTGGTAAATAAGGGAATGAAATCCAAACTGTAACTCAGAATACTGGGTTTCATTGCCATTTGACCTCTGGTGGGATTCTTATCTCGCTGAACCCCCGTGACCCCACAGATTGTTCACAGATTGTTCACCTGCTGGTGGTAGGATATGTGCCTTTCCACCTCGGAGAACTCTTGAAGCTCAGGGGAGATGAGGTGTGAGAAGATGCTCTGACAATTGGTGCACGGTAGACATGTGGGAGCTGCTTTCCATCTTCAGGTACACCAGTTCATCTGCAGGCTCTGGGTGAGAAAGTATGGCTTGAAGGGAGACTGCAGAGAGACCGTAGTCACAGGAGGACTGCAGCTCAGAAGATGCCCTCCTTTGGAGATGTAAGTTCCAAAGTAATAAATGAGGTTGTTACAGTGGGCCTTAATCCAGTATGACTTGTGTTCTTATAGAAAAGGACAATTGGACACAGACATGCATACAGGAAAAAATGGCATCTGAACATGAAGGCAGAAGTTGGGTAGCACAGCTCTAAGTCATGGCTGCCCAAGGTCGCTTGTGAACCACCAGAAACTGGGACTGACAACCGGAACTGATTCTCCTCACAGCCCTGCAGACACCATGACCTCAGAATTATCACAACCAAGAGACAAAAAGTCTGTCATGAAAACCTTCCAGTTTAACCAGACACAGTGGCACATGCTTATAATCCCAGCATTCTGGGAGGCAGAGGCAGGTGGATCACTATGAGTTTGAGGCCAGCCTGGTCTACAAAGTTAGTCCAGACAGCCAAGACTACACGGAGAAACAAAAAACAAAGAAAGACAGAAAACCTTCCAATTCACATGCTTTGTCCAGCAGTACAGGCAAACTAACACAGTGGCTTACAAATGTGTATTTCAAAGATAGGAACTAACTTTAGCCCCCCAGAGTGGTTCCAGCTGATAGGTCCAGACTGGGTTCTCAAGCCCAGTGTACTCTAATGGTTCGGTCCTGTGATTCCCACACTTACCGGAACACTTCCTCTTCTTTTCTGCCTGTTTTCCATCACACCCCCATCCAGCTTCAGATTTGAAGTGTCTGATGTCACCTCTGTGAGTGCTGTGCGCGCTCCATGGCACTGCTCCTCCTCTCTGTTAGTGTGATCCGTCTTCCATTGCTGGGCACTGTTTTATGCTTCCCTCCCCTTCCTCCATCCTTCTATATAGTCCAGATTAGCCTGTACTGCTGATCCTCCTGCCTCGATTCCTAGGTACTTGTTGCCAGTATCTGCCAGCACACCTGGCTTATCCTTTCTTCTCAGGGCACATTGGAAACTTTTGTCTTATGTTCCTTTTCCAGCACAGCGCCTTGCATGCAGTAACACTTATTCACTGAATTGGCTGAGGGTCTGTTGTAAGAAGACTTACTGTATTATGTATTTATATGAAATGTGACATTTTAATCAGAAGCTTGTGTCAGAGTGTCAAGTGGGCAAGGACATTTGCCTCAAACAGGAAAAGCTCCATGGGTTCTTGTGGCCGAAGGAAAAAGAAATATCAAGAAATCTCTAGGTGTGGTGTTGCACGCCTTTAATCCCAGCATTTGGGAGGCAGAGGCAGGTAGATCTCTTCGGGTTCAAGGCCAGCCTGGTCTACAAAGAGAGTCCAGAACAGCCAGGGATATTACGTAGAGAAACCCTATCTCAAAAGACATAAAAACCAAAACGAAATCAAGAAACCGTCTCCAGGATGGGAGATGCACTCCAGCTCACGCAAGGCTCCT